GTCAATGATGTCCGTCTCTCTGTGGTCACCGTAACCTTGGCCACCGATCTATGAGTTACAGTAGTAAATATGACTATGGACTGGTAACATCGACGGTTGGCCCAGGTAAGGTAGGATCTGACGTCGTTCGCGTAGTTCTAGCGATGACTTGCCTGGGGAAGCATGCTGAGATCATGACGGATAGAACCAGCAGGACTTCAGCCGGGAATAACGAGATGGAAGGACTTTTGCAGGGGCCTGGTCGTCACCAACACAAGTATGGGAGGGGAGGGGAGGGTATCTCCTACAGAAGCATCCTTGTGAGGTGCGGTGGTGCGTAGTTTTGCTGACCCATGTTCTAGGTCTCAAAGGCGTCCACACCCCTTAGCCTTTGATCTTTCTGAAGAGGCGCGGTGTCTGTTCTTATCGACCTGCGATGCGAAGCTGAGGCGACAGAAGATTCGCTGATAGACATGATCGGTATTGCACAAACTTTTGGTTGCCATCAATGCTAACCTTCATCACAATTGCTGTACATGGATGAATTGCTCAGACGAACGTTCTTGTAATGTTGATGGGGTTGATTTCATTCGTCCGGTAACACATCCTCGTCCTTCGTCGCAGTCGCAGACCGGCCGAGATCTTAGTTGGTCGGTCGGTGCCATGAACCATCGGTCGAACGTCAATAAGAAAGAAGCTATATGCTAAGTCAGTCGGCTTGTGGCTCGTAGCTCGTATTCTGTCGGTCTACTGAATCGCCCGTCGTTACGTAGGTATTTGCAAATTTCCCTTCGAGATCTCCGCCATGTTCAGGTGAAAGAACACCAGCCTCTTCCGACTTAGACCGCAGCAACTTCATCTTAAGCTGTTGCTGATGACAGGGATGCTTGCATTTTTAGTGCTTCATCCCGGCTACCCGCGGCGGGCGCCAGTGTCCGACCGAAGAACACAGAGGGAGAGGGGGAGGGGAAAATCCCTCAGAAGGGTGTCTCGGCCGATGGTACACGGGAGCATAGCTCGCCAGCTCTCAGGAACAGTAGGATTCTGCTGCCGGGAGTGTCATGGTTATCCATTGGACAATTTGACAAGCAGACTTGGGTGCGTGGGATCACAATCCTTCGATCACTTACAATATTTGTCTACCTCTCCAAGATGCCCAAATCGGGAAGGCCTAGCGAAGGAGGATTCTTTGCCCTGAGGCCTGCATATCTTCATCGAAAGACACCTGGAGAACCACGGAATTTGGGTAATGCCAAGTGCGGTCCCTGGAGGGAATCCGCACACACCACACAGCGAACATCGCTGCCCAGAAAGGAAGCTCAGCGCCGTTGACCGAGAGCTCTATCGAGTAACTGCATCATGAGGGTATCTTTGTGACCAAAATAACGGCTGCCTCTTCCGTTTGGGCGAGTGATTTGTTCGCCAAATTCAGCCATAATACCACCTCACCTTACACTGAGTGTCGGACACTTCGTCACCATTGCTGACCTCGAGTAGCATCGGATGTCAGATCTCAATCGCGGCAGGTGGTTGCAACGAGAACAGACGGACATCCCACCAAACTGAGTTGGCGGGAGCGGGAACCAGAACGGGACGTTGGCGCCAACAGCCCCCAAGCCCACAAAGCCCCCCCCCCCCCTAAGTCCTCGCAAAGGGACCACAAGGCGGACGATAATGTGGTGGTGTGGTGACATTAGGGCCCAGAGAACGACGGGCCCCAGGGCGCACAGACGGGCCTCCGGATGCTACGGATGGGCAGGGAACTTTAAACGAACCTGTCTGAAGGTCGCATGCAACTTCAGTTTACCCAAGATGACCTGCAAGCCACAACGAGAACTCAATGGCAAGTAACATTCGGAAGTGCCCATCGAAGGATCTAGTCTACGCCAACAGCCGGACTGCGGCGTTTCTTATACGTGGTACAAGTCAATAGTGGCGTAGCCTCATGACGAGTTCCAACAAAGATTATTAGCACGAAAAGCCTCTGATGAGTGAGCTGATTTTGTCAGACCAACAAGGGGGAAAGCCGTTCAGCTGATCGTATGGGAAGAGGACCACCGGAATCCGCTACAGAACCCCATAAACCCTCCACGACCCATCTCCTCATCTGACAAAATGCCCGACCATGGATCTGATGGATGTTGAAGAGTTTGACGAGAAAAAAGAAAGCAACGGAATCAATTCCTTCGACATGTGAAACCCTGTACTCCGTTTAGGATCACTGGTACAGAATCATCGGCGCCTCATTTCCCAGCAGTCATCAACAACACCTGGGCTGTGGGCACAATGTCCGTCCTTCAAGTACGGTAGAGCCTAACCCAACTGGTATTACTGCCCGATGCCCATGTCTAGACCTCTTCCTTGATGCATAGAGATGTAAAGGTAGAAGAGTGACAAAGATGTGGGTGCCTGGAAGATGCCGGCTAGGTACATGTTCGTCGAACATCTCCTTTGGACTCTCAAGGCTGTTCTCTTTCATGCAGGCCTTTTTGTCGAGGACCATCAATGGTCAGTCTCTTCAAGCTTCCGCCTGGTCGGTATGGCATACGTAAGTCCAGGGCGTAGAACCAGATCAAAACATCAGCAAACTTTCATTCGACATTGATCTGAGAACCACAATCGTATTCCTCAGCAATTGCCTATCTATTCTACCGAAACCAAGACTGCTCCAGAATCGAATGTTTTGTGTGGAAGACGTTGGGGACGGTCCAGAATTTGATCCTGGCGACGACCGCAGAGGATGGCGGATGCAGCGACCCATTCATCCACCCTTTGATGATCACTCTCCTTGTCCCTTGACCTGCGGAAAACTGCAAGGATATAGAGTTCGTTTTCTCTTGGTCGTCTCGCGATCGGTAATCTAGTCTATCAGCCGTTTTCTGTCTACATGTACCCACAGCCCTGGTCTTCCTCCACTTGGCCCCCAAACCCGCGTTCGTCCCTCGGCGAATTTCATGGTTGGCTATCCACCCTCCTTTCTTGGGAATGGAGACGCATACTGGCAGACGGTTGACTACTTCTCCGAGTACTGCAGTAGCCTGCAGACCGTCACGCCCGTTCCACGCCACCCTCCTTTTCGGTCTCGATGCAAGGGCGGGCAAGAAAGAAAGTTGCAGACTTGTGCCTGGCGGCAGACATACGCGGGGGGCCGTTGTCTCTTCCTGTTCACACACTTTTATGCCATCCAATAGAATTCTCGCCTTCCCCTTTTATACCGCGGAAAGGCTATCGAACCCTTCGGACTTGGGCGGACGGGTTCTCCCTAGTCAAAAGCCACAAACTCTGCACAAGAGAGGTCTGGGCATGAACATATAACCGTTCGTGGGGACCCAATCGTTCCGACTTATTGGATTCTCCCTTGATCTGCGTCTACCATCTTCTGATATCCTGGTGTCTTGCCCACAGACCGTTGGCCTTTCGGGGCCCACAACCTCATCAGACCAGCCTGATCTCCCACGGCTTCGACACCAACCACTGTTTATTCACGATGGTTGAGGGAAACATCCCCGGCGAGAGCAATGCGCTCATGGTGCAGGTGCCGGCCATCGTCTTCTTCGTGCTCACTCCCATCTTTGTGGGCATCCGGTTTTGGTCGAGGATCAAGATGAGATCCGGCCTTGGCTGGGACGACTGGACAATTCTATTCTCCTTCGTGAGTCTACTTTATAAGACACTCGGTTATTATATTACCTTGCTAACGCTCTCCAGATCTGCTGCCTGACTGTATCGATATTGATGATGATCTCTTGCGAGTATGGATTCGGGCAGCACATCAGAAACCTGTCCAAACCTAATAAGGTCATGACTTTGCAAGTACGTAGTCAGGAGCACCTCATACCGTCTAGCTGAAGCGAAGTATCATATAATAACCATCTAACTGTTGACAGTTGTTCTACGTTGCCCAGATCTTCTACAAGATCACTATCAATCTCACAAAGGCATCGATATTACTCCTGTATCTTCGTATATTCGTTCAGCGGTACTTCCGAATCCTTTGCTACACGCTACTCAGCATCATCCTGGCCTATATGGTAGCGACCTCGGCCTCTTCGATATGGCAGTGTAGCCCTATCCCGAGGGCTTGGGACAAGACTATTCCGGGCACTTGTATCTCGCTTACCATGAACTGGTATGCAAATGCGGGATTCTCTATTGCTACCGACATCCTTATCATGGCACTGCCACAGCACGTCCTGTGGCAGTCGAAACTCCCCCTCAATCAGAAGAGGCTGCTCATGATTGTCTTTGCCCTGGGCCTCTTCGTCACCATCACGAGTATCTTACGAATGACGACGCTGAACTTTTCCACTACCAGTCCGGACACCACTTGTAAGTGATGCAAAAACTCCATGCTTACGACTCCAAATATGCTTACCTATTGACGCAGTCGACATCGCCTCCACACTCTGGACAGTCGTCGAAGATAACGTCGCCATCATCTGCGCCTGCCTGCCAATGTGCCGTCTTCCCTTGACCTACATCTTCCCGACATATTTCGCAACCAAGAAAGGCTCGTCTGCCGGCAGCTACAACACAGGATCCGCACCGCGAACGAACAACAGCAACTTTATCCACGCTGGTACGAGCCGCAACGACTGGCACCCATACCAGGGCCGCGAAGAGAAGAACGGAATTCATCTGACGAGTGTACATGCTAGACCAAAGGTTGGGGACGATACGAGCGAGGAGTATATCCTGCCTACAGCCGCCGACGAAAGGCGTGTAAGGACTCCGAGCGAGGAGGTGGAGGACAGGCGTGCTATCAGGAAGACGACGGCATTTCACATGACTTATGACGAAGAACGGTCGAGAGTATGAGTCTAGGGACATAATGTGGAGGAGAAGAGAGTTGCAACTAAAAGGTATAATTTGTAGTACGAGAACTATCACTACCCGATTCTCGTTCTAAGATGCAGAGACACATCGCCAAGATTTGCCTTCTATCTTACATTACGCACTTTGAGACATCCTTCTCTCCGACTCCCATGACTGAATGGACATATGTGAGAGCTACGATTTGTTCAAGCTGCAAGAGATGCAATAATTCTGTCGCGCCCGATGCAACGGTCGGTCGTGAAGCTGTCATACCGGCTGACATACTGACCAGTGGCGTTCAAGAGCAAGACGTCCTTGTCCTGTCCGTACATCGGGAAGTCCGTCACTCCCTTTCCATGGGGACTTCCGCTAAGAGTGAAGCTGGTCATGTATCGCTGCAAGGCAATTGCAGTCTCTGGACTGGGCATACCGACCCCGTTATCGGAAAAGGTGTATTCAACATCCGCCGCGTGCATGGCGGGGTAGACGCCAAACTCGTACTGATGAGTCGTGCCGTTCAATGCCCTCGCGAGAGCAAGACCATTGCACCGGAAAAGTAAGTCCTGCATGGTGAGAGCAGTGCGAGCGATGTGGTCCGTGTATCCATAGGAGCCGTTGAGGATGGGCGGGTATAACTCCGTTGCCATGTAATCGATCGAGTCGGCGCTGGCACCGGGCAGGGTGAGGGACATCCAGTCGCGGTAGCCAGCGTCGTCTGTGATGTCGAAGGAACCGAAGAAGAGACCATCGTTGGTGTTTGAGCCAGCCATCACGTTGACTTTGGTATCGAACTTCCCATCCGAGATCAAGACTGCAGGCTCGGCCGGAACAAAGGTGCCGTCAACTACCGGGCTGAAGGTGAAGCTTCCCAGGCGGCCGGCAAAGACCTGATCGCTGTTGGCTGCAATCACAGAGGCGGAAGTGAGCTGTCTGGCCTCGGCAAGGGTGCTGACGTTCAGACGGGACAAGAATTCGGTAAATATATCGTCCTGAATTTGGGCCGGCGGGGATGGGAGGATCGCCGGGGACTGCGGAATGATCTGTTGGAAGGGAACAGAGCCCTGGGAGCCGCCAAAAGCCTGGAAGGTTTCAGTATTAGAGGCTTTCACTCTGATGAAGTACCCTTCTTTGACTCACAGTTGTCTGATAGATGAGCGAACCTCCTCCAGCAGATTCTCCTGCAAGAGTCACACGGTCCGGGTCTCCGCCGAAAAGGTGAATGTTCCGTTGAATCCACTCCAGCGCAAGTCTCTGATCGAGGAGTCCAGCATTGGTAACGCCTCCCTGGGTTGTGAATTTCGGACCGCTAAGGAATCCGAAAGCACCAAGGCGGTAGTTGAGAGCAACGTAGACAAAATCGTGGTTGCCTTGTCTCAAAAGGCCAGCAGGCGAACCGCTGTTTAGTCCAGCCTTGGAGCCGGTATCATAGCCGCCGCCGTAGATCCATACGAGGACCTGTTTGATTCCTCCATGTTAGCTTGGGCTTCTTTGACGATGGGAATAGACTATGAATCCAAAGAGCGTCTACTCACGGGTGCTTTAGTAGCAGTCCTATTGGACCTGGCAGCATCGAAGATCTTCTTCGGGGTCACCACGTCAAGAAACAGACAGTCTTCGCTAGCTCTCGAGTCGAGGAGCTGACTAGCAGATATCGAGATATTGGGACCGAATAGGTATTGGTATGCTTGTTCGATCAGGCTCGGCGTCCATTCCGGAAGGGCCTGTGGGCAGATTCGGGCCTCTTCACCCTTCCGTACAACAGATCTGTCCGTTGCCGGAGGTACCGGGGCAGCGAAGCGAAGATCTCCAATAGGTGGGGCTCCATATCGAATGTTGGAGAAGTTGTATGCTTCACTCGAGGTCTGTGATTGGTGGGTTTTAAGCATCGTGAAGTTGAGCGTCCTCTTTGGAACAATCAACCCTCAGATATCAGCTGCCACTTACATCGAAGTTGAGAGCTTGATGAAGCTCATAGCCTAAGTCTACAATTGGTAGACTAGTTGAAGTATTGCCTGTTTCGATGCATGCCGCTGAAACGACTGAGGTGCAGGCGAGCGTGATAGCACCTGCGACGAGAGATTGCATCATTGAGAGAGTGAAGCTTTGCCAATTTTCGAATGATAACGAGTGGATGAAGAGTGCGTGCTACTGAGTCAATCCGAGAGACGAATGCGGTTTCGCCGTTATATTTCTACTACCTTGTTACCTGCATCCCTTCGCTCTACTAGAGAAGATAGTCTGAATTGCTTCCACTCCACTGAGTACCAGGTCTCTACGGACTACGGACAAATTCCAAGCCGTTATGCAACCGGCTGACGTTTGTAATTGCTATAAGCCTGTACGTTAGATGGATAGTAACGAACGAGACTGTAAGTCAAGGGCAAGGGTGCTTGAGTCAAATCGCGGGCCGATTACTTGATTGAGCAGACGGCAGTGCGGAAATACGCCGCTGTTCCATTTTCTCTCGTGGTTCTTCTCTTTCCTTCTGGAACGTCCAAGTACTCTTAAGCAGGACCATACAGGTAATCGGATAGACGATGATGTGTATGGCTGGGAATATGATTAGGCAGATACGCGTACGTGGCTGTCTGTAGTAGCCTGTAATATCAATATCCGAGCCCGGGGCCGGATCCGTCAGCTCGGGTTCGCGAAGGCTATGCCGGTTTAACTGCCGGGCAACCGGGTAAGGCCATTGAGGAGCTACAGCCAGCCAAGGAGACAGAGAGTCATTGTGGAGTGAGAGCTGTTTCTTTCCCATTTTCGGACCCATAAGACTAGCAGTTACTTTCTTAGCGGGCAACGAAGCACGGCCGTGTCAGCAACACAGCATGGCATACTTATCCTATGTCCGTACAGTCCGTCTGAAACACTGACGTACTGATGTTAAGTCCGTAAATGATAGGAATGCATGCAAATAGAGTTGGCTTATACGTGTTTTCTAATCTCCCATATTTAACGATCAGTTACTCCATAGTAAAGATTGACTGTATCACTGACAAGATACACACTATTGTAATCCACGTGTTCGCATTTCTATCGACATTAAACCATCTCCTTAGCAAATTCACCTATTCAGCCTTCCCAAAAATGACCAGAGTTCTTCTTACCGGAGGCAGTGGCTTCATTGCTACACACATCCTCAAGCTTCTTCTTGAACGCGGGTAAGAAACATTCCAATTCCCAGATGAAGATGATGTGATGGTTCTCAGCTAAAATCATCCGTGTAGACACTCTGTGGTCACAAGTGTCCGCAGCCAGGCCAAAGCAGATGCGATCAAGCAGTCATATCCTGATATTGGAGCCGACAAGCTGTCTTTCGCCATTGTCCCCGATGTGGCTCAGAGCGATGCATTCACCGATGCAGTCAAATTTGACCCACCATTTGAGGCAGTCATTCACACTGCGAGTCCCTTTCACTTCAACGTGACTGACATCAAGGCGGACCTCCTCGATCCCGCTATCAATGGAACCACCGGTATCCTCCGAGCTATCAAACAAAATGCCCCGTCGGTCAAGCGCGTGGTCATCACGTCATCCTTTGGTTCTATGATGGATGTGTCCAAGGGGCTATGGCCCGGTCACACTTATGACGAGAGTGACTGGAATCCCATCACAATGGAACAAGCGCTGCAGAACCCTGGCGCTGGTTACTCTGGTAAGTTGACCTCTATTGTCTCTCACGCGCTCTACATGTGGCGCCTAGAAATTTGCCCTGTAGCTGACTTTCGGACAGCGAGCAAGAAGTTTGCCGAGAAAGCAGCTTGGGACTTCCTTGAGTCTGAGACACCTGCGTTCTCTATTTCCACAATCCTCCCACCCCTCGTCTTTGGTCCTGCTGTGCAAAGCCTGGCTTCTATTGATGACCTCAATACCTCAAACCAATTCATGCGCAGCTTCATTCTTGGCACAGCGAAGAAGGAGATCCCCCCCACCCAGGTCAGTAAATCTCTTCTGCCAGAAATCCCATCGATTTGACGCGCTTCGGCTGATTCAAGTGTCTATCACAGAACCCCATCTTCGCCGATGTCCGAGATGTGGCATTTGCTCATGTAGCGGCCATGGAGAAGGAAGAAGCCGGCAACAAACGTTTCTTCATCACGAACGGCTACTGCTCAAACCGTGAGACCATCGATATCATCCGGAAGCACTTCCCGGAATACAAGTCAGCTTTGCCTTCCAAATGCACCAAGGGCGGCGGTACGTAGAAGCTTTGATGATAACTTACTCGATACATATTAACACTGACTGCTGTCTAGAACTGCCCAAGGAGGTTTACCAAACGAACACCACACGCAGCGTTGAGATTCTGGGCATGAAGTACGCGGATTTTGAACATTGTGTTGTTGACACCATCAGATCTTTTGCCTCCGTCAAGCAGTAGCACCCTAGTGCTCGGGTATCGGGGGAGATGGCATCAAAATTGTAGCCTATCTAGCATAGGAATGATTGGGGTTGCTTGTGTTCGAAATGCGTAAATCGACACGGGTGATCTGCGACAGTCTAGAATTTGAACTTCAAGTAATATTGGAAAACACCGAATCTGAAGAAATGACGTTGCTATGAGGTGACCTACCTAAAGGTATCTACATAGCAATACTCTAACGTATGAAGTCCTGCGCTATCACGTACGCTTTATTCCAGGCCTCCTTGTCAAGTAGAGCCCCACTATGGTTTCCGGACAAGAAGGGGGTCAGGGAAGCCAAAGTTTTTCGTCAGACGGACGTAATGAGGCCTACCATTTTTGCATATTGTAAACCGACAGAAGAATAAGACAAAAAAGTATCAGTGAAAATGTCGTGATGGCTTCAACCATCCATGGCCTCACCGCATGTCACGTGACCTCGGTTACATAATCACCCGAGGTCCACACTCGCTTACACTCTCTATTTCAGGGCGAACCTCGTGCCCATTTCCTACTTTCAATAGATAACCG